GTGTGTGTGTGTGTGTGTTTTCTCTGCGCGTGTGCTTTCGGCATAGCCCATCTTCACGGATATGTTCCACGGCACAGTCAGAGACGGCCCGCCATAGTGATGCCGCCTTTTTTGTCGGTACACTGCCGGCGCTTCTCCCGTCGCCACCTGTCCCGTCTCCAGACTGAATGTCGACGCAACTGCGTTTGCATTGCATGAGCCGTCGATATCGAGTCCTTGGTTTATGGATAGCAAAGAGCTTTTTTTTTTTTTTTTTTCGGTGACGACGTGATGTCTATTTACGGTGAACAAACGGGCGTGTACCGCATTCTCTGGTTTGTGAACTTTGCTAGGTTCACGTGATGACTTTCGCGATCACTCGAAACCCTTGGGAACACCATCATGGCGGCAGCGACCGTGGGAAGGCGAACGATAGGAAGAGCGGCTGAGCGCGGATGAGTTCGAAGGATGAATTCACCCGCTCTTTTCTTCTTTTAGTTCACTCTTGGATCGTAATTGGTGTTTGATTGAGCCGCTCGATGCCCGCGGGTGACCGTGCTTCGTGTCGCCGCGTGGCTGTCGACGGCTCGCAGAATGGAGGAGATTGACAGAACCTCCATTTACACCACAACCACCGAGCGTTAGAGTGCTAGTTCAGCGGCGGCAAACACTCCCACTGGGTCTGTGCCGGCTGCATTTGTCCTTCTTCAGGGATGGATTCAGTCCAGGCCATCCAATTCATGTGAGTATGCACTAACTCTGGTGACTTGCGCATCAAGAGTGGGGAGTTGTAGTTCAGTAGGGGAAGGCGACTTCAGTTGGGCAGAGTATAGAAACAGTTTTGCTTTGGGCGGAGGGGTTTCTCACGTGAATCCTAAGCGTGGGTGAAGAGCTGTACGAGTTGGGGATATGAAGCCTTTCTGTCCTATTAGGGACAATTATATCGCTTTATGTGATCATTGCAGGCGTCTTCGTGTCCATTTTTTTGCGCGGGCTCGATTGGTCACAGTCTATTTGATGGCAATAGCAGCAGCCACTATGGTGTGTGGCTGTTTTCTGGTCCTCGTACTCACAGCGTGCCGGGGATCAGCTCTTAGAACTGGGCTTAGGAGTCTTGCCTCCAAGCCCAGTTGGCATACGGGTGATCGCCTTCTTCAGGAGTCGACGAGTGCCGCTCCAGCAGCACCGGAGGAAGAGCGGCGGATAGGGTGGTGGCCGTTTTTATACGGTTACATGACGCGCGTGACGTTGCATACCCCGCGGACAAATAGGACGGCTGGGAAAGATTGCCGATCCGTAATTACGAATCTTGTGGTCGGTTCGGGTGAACTGTATTATATCCTGCACCAGTACTGCCCAGCGGATGCTGCTCTCGAGGATAGGGCGCTGTCGATCAGGAGAGTGAACTTATCGCGGATGCAGGACGCCAACGGTCCGAGCCCGCAGGAGGACGACTCCTTATAAGTCACATGTGGCCATACGGGAAGCCGAACGGGACAATAATCCGCGAACCAGCGGATTTTGGAGGGGCTCACGTGACAGGAATGGGTCTGTCGAAAGATGGGATGCATCTCGTCTTGAGCGTAACCAATGGGGACCCAAAAGTAATGCGGGGCAATGGAACCATATCTGGTCACCAAAATCGCTCCAGGTTCACATCTTTGTCGCTCGCTGACGGCTCTCGGTCGTCCTCCGACCCTTTAAGCACATTGGTCCAGGCGTGGGCGTTAGAGTCTAACAAGCGTTTTCTTTACTATTTGCAATCTGATTCCGTATTAATTAACGTCACCGTTAATGATGTTGGGCTTCCAAACGGCCCTCTGAACCAAGTATCCCGTTCGGGCATCGAAACGGTTATCGATCCTGACGAGGAGTTCCAATCAGGAAGCCTTCTCCCTGACGGCAGTTGCCTTTACTCCGTGACTTCTGATAACAGGTTGTTCGGGACAGAGCTTGGGGATGGATATTTCGTCCACTCTACAGTTGCAGACTCTTACATTCCTTTCCTCGGGAAAGAGATGGACGTGGTTGCAACGCCATACAGTTGAGGTCTTCATGCTCTCCAGATAGACCGAAAGGACATGCGGCTGGCTGTCATCCACGTCGCCGCCGATGTCGGCACTCCCACCTTATTTCGGCGAAGCGGATGTTACGGGATTGGCACTTGGTGACCCCGGCGACGGCTTAAGCCTCTTTGTGGAAACCTGCGATGGCAGCGTCTATCGCATTACGCTGAACGGGTCGGAACTGAGCCCTTGTGGTCGGAACTGAGCCCTTTTGGAAACGAACTGAACGGGACTCCCAGCTACGTTTCTCCCAGCGACGGATATCCCAGCGGCAGATATCCCAGCTACGAACTGAACGGGACTCCCAGCTACGGATATCCCAGCTACGTTTCTCCCAGCGACGGATATCCCACCGCCAGATATTCCCGCGACGGATATTCAAGTTTTATTGCAGTGACGGTTTTTCTTGTTCATCCGACTCCGTCCGGACTCGCAGGCGCGATATCGTTCACATTGATTTTTCTACCCACCCTGGTGGGTAATCCAGCGGTAGGACTCTCCATATTTCTATATTCTGGTCTGATATTTCTCGCAACAGCAATGGCGGTTTTGTAAAGCGGCGACGTCGAGCTCTGGAACAGGTCAGTAATAACCATGCCGTTAACCACGGCCGGCCGACGACTTCATCCGTACAGGACTGCGCTGCTCTGGATTTCTGGGGACTGAGGCCCTCGCGCGTCAAGCAGTTTGGTTGGAAACTGCTTTCGGATTGCACGGAGAATTTTAGCGAGACCTATCGCATCGGGGACAAAGGGGCGTTTGGGAAAGTCTACAGGGGCTCTCTCGACGGCAAGGACGTGGCAATCAAGGTGATGACCAACCGGTGAGCTGACGCACGTGAAACGGAACCAGTTCGTTGCGGAAGTGAACACTCTCAGTGCAGTTAATCACGTCAATCTCATTCAGCTCACTGGTTACTGCCAGGAGGGCAACCAATGCATCTTGGTGTACCCTTCCTTCAGAGGCGGATGCTTGCACGAGCGGCTGTTCCCTCACACTGCTAACCAGAGGGAACTCGCAGAGGATTCTCCTCCGCCGCTCACTCTCCACGAGCGCATGAGCATTGCCTTCCAGATTGCCAGGGGACTCCAGTACCTACACGATGATGCCAAGCCTCCCATCATTCATCGGGACATCAAGAGCAGCAACGTCCTGCTTGGCGATGACTGTGGCGACAAACTTTACGTAGTCCTCGCAGACTTCGGATTGGCGGCCATCGGGGAGAGGGTGCTGGACACAGGGCACGACCACGTTGTGATCACATCGCACAATGGTGGCACCTTCGGGTACATGTCGCGCCGGAGTACATGCTGAGGGGCGAGCTGTCCGAGAAGAATGATGTGTACTCCTTTGGGGTTCTTGTACTGGAGCTCCTGACGGGGAGGAAGGTGGTCACACCGGCGTTCTCCGGGGTGGGATGGCAGACACTGGTGGACTGGGTGAAGCCTTTCCTTCGGGGCGACAGTGAAACAGCCCCACGTGCTATTCTTGACCGCTGTTTGTGGGATCAGATGGCGGGAGACTCTACGACGCAGATGGTGATGAGCGCTTTTAGAGTGGCGTGGGAATGTGTCCATGAGGATTATGGGTCAAGGCCGGCAATGCGAGCTATTGTGCAGCGCTTCCACAGCATGCTTCTCGATGTAGGATGGGACTTCTAGATCAGAACAATGCACATGGAGTACCTTCTGGCGATGTCAGAGGCAGAGGATACCATCTGCAAGGACGATGATGCTGAGTCACAAGAGTATCCCGAAGTGCTCCTAGAGTGAGGGAAAGGATGAGAACTGTAAAATTCAATACTCTTTTTTTTTACTATATAAATGAATTCATTTGTGTCTTAGCGAGGGATAGCCACTAGCATTGTAGTATTGGGTAGAACTCTAGCTCCTGACCTGCTTATTAACTGTTACGTGGAAGGTGTTTGGCCTTGCGCACAGCCAGCAGGCTGGAAGGTGTTGAAATCTTTCACTTGCTGGAAGGTGAAAGTCACTGTGAGGGCCAAGACCTGAAACAGGTAATATTTCGATGTGTGGAACATTCATTAGATTCAGCGAAAGGTATCTTAGAGCAAGACCGGGTATGCACTGGGCGTCTTGCCATCATTGGCTGTCGCGGACGTGTAAAAGTGTTACGGCACTGTGGCATTGGGCTTGTAGTAGTTGTCACCAACTCCACATTCTGGTACCGAATCTTCTCAATTTAAACAGACTTTAATAGTTTTGAAGTAACTGCGACGGACAGAGATCATCTCACAAATCAAGGAGTTAAAAAAAAAAATCAAAAAAATCAAAGAGTTCAGAAATCTCTCTTAAGGTGATATCATATTCAATGTATTTTCGAATTTGTGGTAACATCCTTCCGAGGATTTTATTATGTCCTGATTATCATTGGGTCTCTTAAAGCTTCCACAGTTCCCCCCTGCAGGGGCGTTTTTTTCAAACGAGGGCGACCGGACCCTTCGTGCGGTTTGCAAATTCAAGAGTTGGCCTCCAGTCTTGGTGGACAAATCTTATCTGCCCTGTCGTGTAGCGTCTTTTCTTTTCTTTTTTTTTTCTTTTTTTAATTTGGACCATTTCTCAATTTATGCCTGTCATCCTTGCGCAGCGGCCATGCTAATCTTCTCTGTATCGTTCCAATTTTAACGGATGTCCCGGAGGACGTGTAGCGTCTTTTCAGTTTTGTCCTACAGTCAAGAATGCTCAAGAGGTACGAGGAGGGGAAAAGTGGAAAAATGCTGAGTTCGAGGAGGGGAAAAATGCTGCAGGGACAGCGCTCCGTTGAAGCGCTGCGAAGCGCTGCGCTGCTGATGGTATCGCCATTCGCAGAGGACAGCGGCGTCGGCAGCAAGGCGCGGGATTCGGTGTAGGGGGGCGGAGCTATGAAGTACTCGGTGCTCTCTATGTTCGGCCATCACCCTCAGCCTCTACAAAGGGCTGGGCCTCTCTGTGGAATATCAGGGAGCAGGGTGTTTCCCGTCCCTCCTACAACCTCCTACGACCTCCAACCTCTAGAATTCGAGTGTTTTCTACTGCTGTATTATTCCCATCTATGGGTTAAATACATTGCAAACTGCACGAAGAAGGGAGAGAGGCTCTAGTGCTTTGCGAACCGTGAATCAGACAGCGCCACTTCCAGGAGCAGTGGGAGGGCAACTGGCAGTGGTGGGACTGTTGTCTTCCGAGGAGCATGTACGGAGTGCTGGTTGAGATAGCAGACTATCTCAACGGGGAGCGTGAAGACATGACCTAGAGCTCTACAGGCGTGGCGCCACCTTTGGGAGTGGGAGTTCCTCTGGCGGCGGTTGGAGCGTTTTCCAGTAGTGCGAAGGGCACGGGCTGTATAGTCGACTGGGTGTAACTGCGTCACTATACATGGAGACACTCATACTGCAGTTACATAGACTACTCTTATCTGGGCCTTTTATTTATCTCAAATTCGAAATTCCTTTCCATTTTTTCTCCATGACTTTCGAGGTACTCTGTCCTTCTTCTTATTCTTGGGTGTTTTCAGTTGCCTCCTGGGCTGACTTCACAAGTTTCAGTTGTCAGTGAAATTTTCTGGGACATAGTACTAGTACTTGGTTTGCAAACAATAACAGCATATATTTTCATGTTTTAGGGTTTCCATAGGCCAGATCCCTGCTCCCCTCTATCTCTGGCTGTAGTGTGCACCTTAGCACATGCCTGCTTGTAGGAAAGGGAGGAGCCCAGGGCAGCAAACTTAGCTTGTAGTTTGAAGTTGTCTACTTGGTTGATTTCAGTCCGGTCGTAGACTTGATTGGTAACTCAGCGCCTTCCTTTCACTCATACAGGGGTTTTTGCATGCTATCTCTACAGCATGATCCTTGCTTTAGCTCTGGTCCGTTTGCGTGGCAGATTGGGGTTTGTCCGTAGCAGGCAATGGAACTACTGGGGGTAGTGGGAGACCTACTTGTAGTTGTGGCAAGGTTGCTGAGCTACTTAGGGCATGACCGATTAGCATCTAGCTGACGAGTACAAACTAGGGTTGTACCTATTGAGATCTAGGGTGCCTGGAATACGGCAGCTCCTACACAGGTGCAAGGGTACAAGTTGGAAAACCTTGTCACGGCAACCCAGGCTCCTCACGGCTATTAGCTGATCCGACGGGCCTCTCCTTTGGTATTGATTTTTGCTTTTCTGTATGGTGGATCTGTCTGGGGAACTCTGGTGAATTTGATAGATTCAGCTAGTTAGGCAGGATTTACTTCATAGATTAGCAGTAGTTCTTGACCTATTCACGGGCTGTATTGGGCTGTAAGCAAAATCGGGTATCTATACTGGGGCTTGTCAGTAGCAGGCAACGGAACGACTGGAGGTAGTGGGAGACCCACTGGTGGTTGTGGCAGCGTTGCTGAGCTACTTAGGGCACGGCTGATTAGCATTTAGCTGATAAGAGAGCAAACCACGGTTGTACCCATTGAGATCTAAAGTACCTGGAATACGGTACTTCTTACAAGAGTCCCAAGGGTACAAGGTGGGAAACCTCGTCATGACAACCCAGGCTCCACACGGCTATTAGCTGGCTATTAGCTGGTCCGACGGGCCTCTCCTTTGATTTTGGGTGGATCTTTCTTCGGAATTCTCTAAATTACTTGCTCCAGTTAGAACTCTGTAGTTTGCGCTAGATCATCGGGTATTTGTTGTTTCTTGGCTATTCACATTAGGCTGTGGTCTCCTGCCAATACAAGCAAGGTCTCTTCATTGGAAGTAGTTCAAGAATTGTCCTCTTTTCTGTAATATCTTTAAGCGAAGCTGGGTAAGGCTCCCAGTCAGAATGACAGAATAACTGATTAGTTTGCTTAGTGGTTGCTTCTTTTTTTTTCTGGTTTTGAAATTTGTTAGTCCAGTTCTGATTTTCTTCCTTTTGGTTGAAGTTGCCGTACATGGGACACTGGACCCGGTTTCCAGCAAAGCCTAAACTGGGTATTGGCCCCAGGAATTCCGGGTTGACTTATTGAGGGATTCCCGGCCTCAGTTCCCCAATTTTCTATAATACAAACAGCGACTTCCAGAAAAGAAAAAAAAAAAAGAATGCTCAAGAGAGTCGAGAGTCCGGAGTAAGGGCCTCGCCACACTACTCCCGACTTGGCGATTTTCGGGAGTGCAGCATGGCCACACCAGCTCCCGAGTTCAGCCTGTCAGATTGAATTCAGGAGCTGTCAGAATGTGGCTCCCAAGAGCACTCAGTGTTACCGCGCGTTCATTGAACGCGCGTTTCGCGTTCAGGCTTTGAACGCGGTGAACGCGCGTTCAGTGAACGGCGGTTAACGTTTGACGCGTTTGCGCAGGGGGTTGTGCGGGG